CCCTTAGTCTAGCTGATACCGACTAAGTTTAACCGTATTTTCTATATTTGACTGCAGTGTTTGAAAAGTCCGTGCTCAAGCCCTGCCTTCCTCCCATGGTGCCCCATTTCATTGGTCGACAAGAAAAAGTTGAAGATATCTTGCGTGCGTTGACGTCCACATCTGCGCGGCTAGTTTCTGTATCTGGACTCCCTGGTTTTGGCAAAACCTCATTGGCAATCGCAGTAGGACACCAACTTAGACAGCTAGGACTACCAGTTTATTTCCTTTCCTTGAGAAGCGTCAAGACAGCGGAAGAGCTGATCTCTGACCTGTTAAACACCTTTGCACATGCGTCTTCTGATGTAACGGGGCGAGAACGTTCAAAACTATGCGGACTCCTCAGTGCAATTCCTTCCAATATTTATATCATCCTCGATAACGCCGATGACCTTTTTGCGAGTAGCGGTGGAACGCGCCAAGATGTTTTAGACCTTCTAGAAAAGATCTTTACTCATTGCAAGAATGTGTCCTTTCTACTGACCACAAGGATAAGTCTTCAATCGGTGTTGGGAAGAAAATTTGCTGCTCACACGTCTGTTGGAGTTACATCGCTAGACAGGAAATCGTCACAAATGCTTGTTCAAGAACTTGTCCCTACTGCTGATGAAAGTGAATGCTGCAGAGTGGCTGAGGTTTGTGGAGACGTTCCGCTGGCCATCAAGCTTTTGTGCAGTCAAATCGTTGACGAGAAGAAGAGTATATCTCAATTCCTCGACCACTTTAGCCGTTCTTCAAAAAAGCTAGCCGACTTGTTAGACGATCCAGATGCGCCTGATGATCAACGTTTAAATGTTTTGCTCGAGTCTTATTTCAAAAGACTATCTCAAGAAGAGCAAGAATCATTTGTTTGTCTTTCAGTTTTGGTCAGTGAAGTATTCGACGAGCAAGCTGCAGTAAACGTGATTGGAGGAGATGAAGAAACAGCAAAGAAAACTTTGTTGAGGCTCAAGAGAAAATCGTTGGTTGAGGCAAATTCCTCCGAAGCAGGATTGTTTTCTTTTCACCCTTTGATCAAGTCATTTGGTTCCGAAAAAGGGGCTGATGACATGAAAGAAATTGCTCGAGAAGCACAAAAGCGATTCCTGAGTTATTACGTCAAGTTGTTTGAAGATTTAAACAACCAGTTTCTCGCTGGAAATTCTCTGCTCGCATTTCACGATTTCGAATTTAACAAGGAAAATATGATGCATAGCCTCTCCGAAGGTCTTCAAAATGAGGGAGTCTGCCACGCAATTTTCGATGTCCTTTCCAATGCGGATCTGTTTCTGGACACCATTTTCTACTTTCAACATGCCCAGATTTTTCAAAAGATTTATAAATTAGCAATAGCGAAGGCAAAAGAGCAGCGTAAATTTAAAGCTGTCCACCAACTGCTAATTGCTAAAGCTTTTGGTGAAATAACCTGGTGTGATGGAGCTGCATTGCCATTACTAAAAGAGGCTGAAGAAATAGAGAAGCAAAATCCTCTCCTTCCTTCAGAAGTTGCCATGGGAAAACGAATGTGTTACCAAGGTATTCAGTTGCTAATGCATAAAGCGATAGCGAAAGGAGGCAAAATGATTGAAAAAGGGGTATCTCTCTTAAGTTCTGAAAATACTGTACTCAAGGTCTTATGCTCGCAGATACTACCTTTGATTACTCCTCACGCACAAAAGTATTCCTACTACAGGAACATTGTTTTAACTGAATGCGCTAACAGACCATCCTTGTATGCTTTCTTCAAAGCTATACAAGAAGATGATTGCGCTGACGAGAATGAGGATGAAAACCCAAAACCTTTACGTCAACCACTCATTTTGCCGCTTGCTCTTCTCTTCAACGACGTTGTGAAATGCTATGACATGAAGGAGGTAATGTTTAAACTTGGTTTGCCAATCTCCCAGTTGCAGAAAGAAATCAAAGCGGAAGCACAAAACGACCGTCTATACTTGCCACTACTCTTCGTCGTTGAAACCACCCTGGCAAATGTAAAAATAGAGCAAGAGAGTCCAGCAGCGATGCAGTTCGCTCTTGATAATTTTATAGGAGAATATGGTCGGCTAAACCCGGATACAGCCGCAAGGTACTTTAACATTGGAACAATTCTACTGAGTCAGAAGGATTATGACACCGCTTTAACATGTCATTATGAAGCACTAGACATCAGACTAAAGCTTTATGGGCTTAACCATGCAGATACTGCCGACAGCTATTTCCTGATTGGAAGAGCCCAATTTGAGAAAAAAGATTACAAGTCAGCACTGCAATCGTTCGAGCAAGCACTTGACATCAGACAAAATATTCACGGAAAAATCTACCCAGCCGTTTCCCTCGCTTGTCATGAGATTGGAGTGACAAAGTATCGCTTGAAAGAGTACGATTCAGCTCTGCATTGGTACCAGCAAGCCCTGGATATTAGCGTCGCGCTCTATGGAAAGGAACACGCATCCTCCGCTGGCATATACTCCCGGATTGCAAATTGTCAGGTCAAAATGCAAGATTATGATTCTGCTTTGGAGTCACATCAACAGGCACTTGATATCAGACTAAAGCTTTATGGGCACAACCATGCAGATAGCGCCAACAGCTATTACCTGATTGGAAATACCCAACTTGAGAAAAGAGATTACAAGTCAGCACTGCAATCGTACGAGAAAGCACTTGATATGAGACAAAATATTCATGGGAAAGTCCATCCAGACATTTCCTTGTCTTGTAATCAGATTGGAGTGACAAAGTATCGCTTGAAAGAGTACGATTCTGCTCTGCATTGGCATCAGCAAGCTCTGGATATTAGGGTAGCGCTCTATGGAAAGGAACACACATCCTCCGCTAACAGCTACTCCTGGTATGCAGAATGTCAATACGAAATGCAAGATTATGATTCTGCTTTGGAGTCATGTCAACAGGCACTTGACATCAGACGAAAACTTTATGGACACAACCATGCAGATACTGCCAACAGCTATTACCAGATTGGAAGAACCCAACTTGAGAAAAAAGATTACAAGTCAGCACTGCAATCGTTCGAGCAAGCACTTGATATCAGTCAAAATCTTCATGGGAAAATCCACCCAGACGTTTCTTCCATTTGTAAACAGATTGGAGTGACAAAGTATCGCTTGAAAGAGTACGATTCAGCTCTGCATTGGCACCAGCAAGCCCTGGATATTAGAGTAGCGCTCTATGGAAAGAAACACCCAGCCGCCGCTGACAGCTACTTCAGCATTGCAGAATGTCAGTGCGAAATGCAAAATTATGATTCTGCTTTAGAGGCATGTCAACAGGCACTTGATATCAGACTAAAGCTTTATGGGCACAACCATGCAGATACCGCCAACAGCTATTACCAGATTGGAAGAGCCCAACTTAAGAAAAAAGATTACAAGTCAGCACTACAATCGTACAAGAAAGCACTTGATATCAGTCAAAATCTTAATGGGAAAATCCACCCAAACGTTTCCTCCACTTGTAATGAGATTGGAGCGATAATGTATTACTTGAAAGAGTACGATTCAGCTCTGCATTGGCACCAGCAAGCCCTGGATATTAGGGTGGCGTTCTATGGAAAGGAACACCCAGCCGCCGCTGACAGCTACTTCAGCATTGCAGAATGTCAGTGCGAAATGCAAGATTATGATTCTGCTCTGGAGTCATGTCAACAGGCACTTGATATCAGGTTAAAACTTTTTGGACAGAAGAGCGAAGCTACAAGCGACAGTTATGACCAACTGGAATTTATACGAAGTCTAAAGAAAGTTTGCCAATCATCACTCGAGCTACAGAGCAAAAATTCTTGAAACAAGAACAAAATAACAAGTTGTAGTAGCGATGTATCTATAGTAACACTGATGGTTCGAGTAAATACTAGTTATAAAAGAGCACGATTAAGTGTCTTATAATAACCAATTGACATCAGAATTTCTGTTTGATGATGTAATTTGCCCACTTTTTTAGCCAGTGCAAATCAGTCATATTTTACCCTGTCTTCCAACAGGTGCTTTGTAATAATACTAGAAAATTAAATAAATTGAATTTTTTGACATGATATCTAAATTATATACGAGTTTATATATAAGAAATTATTTCATAGTTGAGACGGTGTTCCAAATTTGTCCTTCATCACGATGTATATTAGACGACTGGCCAACTCTCTGAAATTCACACTCTGGTGGCATTTTAATAATAATATAATATAATAATAATTGTTTATTGGCATTCCACACAAGTGGCTCTTCTATGCTAAATACAAAAGGAGAACGAAATTACAATACATTACTACATGCACCTATGCATGCGTATGGGAAAAATAATTATATATACAATATATATTCATAATATGAATATAGGTTTATTGAAGGTTCATAATATGAAGTTAGGTTTATTCGTCATTGTCTACCTTTGCCAATGTCATGAAATGATTTTTGCACAAAGAATGAAATTCACTAGCCGTATTACAAGTCCTAATTTCAGGTGGAAGACTATTAAATATTTCCGATGCTGTGTGCTGAAATGTCCAATTAACAAGCGGGTTTACTAGTTTGAGTTCACTAGACCATCTGAGAGATCTTCCGGGTTTTAAATATTAGTTTAATCATGTGAAACTCCCTGCGATATTTGACTGGGAGTCGAGCCCAATTTAAGTATGTCAGAAATGTTCCAAGTTTGTTACAAGCTGCCAACTGGCATTTTCGTATAGTAGAAAAATTGGTGAACAAGACTATATATGTTGGAAACTGTGATTTTGATTTGATAGGAATCTTGTACCCATACCAATATCGCTCAAAATAGTTACATGACCAATTATTAACTAAGTTCGTAAGAACTAGGTTCGTCAGAATTGTCACAATCACTTCTTAATTGTGTCTATTGTTACATGATAAGCAATATGTTATTTTACATATATTAAATATTATTATACTGTCTACTTATATTCATATTAAATAGCTTACATGCATGAGTAAGCAAATAGTTTTAAAAATTAAGATGTCCCACAATTAACGTAGCGAATATGACTCGGTTTGGCATTGGCCGATTTGTGGTTTACTCAAACTCGCTTCAACAAAATGTATTGGGTAGGGGAAATGAGACGCAACCTGTTTACAGGGTTTCACCTCCGCTACGCCCCCCAAACACCGGCTCCGGCGAGACCCTGTTCGGGTATGGTCACGTGATATCCCAGATTTTGGGATATAGCGTAATTTGCCGTTAGGGTGGGTACGTGGGGCAGAGTTATTAACTACAGTCATTTCTAAAAATAATATCAATTTAGTTAATGATCGCATTTGGCAGTTTTCGATTGTTTATTTGAAATTAAACCAATTACACTACGAAGTACGAAAAACCGTTATTTGTGATATGGGTCACGGCATTTTAGACCAGTGATTTAGACTCTTGTTGTCGTCTGTTACTTGCTAAATATATGTGATCACTGATCACAATGATATTATTAATACATTGTGATTTTTAAAAACCGTCCTTCGTATATATTAATGTATTTGTCAGAATAAAATGGATACATTGTAGTGTATTTGCTAAAGTATGTATGAACTCTCACCTTTACATAAATTGAAAATATGCAGTACTAACGAGTAACGGTATGTGTTTATATAGCCTTAGTTCATATTCGTGAGGATATCTATTGTTCTCAATAGGGTTTTATTTGGGTAAGAATCTAAAAGCAAGGGGAGGGATTTGATATCTCCACATAGTCTAGGACCTGTATATGAGTTTGTATGCGATTCATTTAGGATAGGTAATCTCAACTGTTTTAGGGTAAAATGACCATGGCGGTCAACATGGCATATGTGCGAAAACCTGAATCCGGGACGAAAGTCCTGAAAATGACCCCGCCCTGAAACGGCAGTGTCGACATAGCTCTAACTTCCAAAAAGGAAAACCGATAGCCTTTCTGAAGTGCTTATAGTGTTTAGAAGGGTTGCTTTTAGGGGTGGTCATTGAAGGAAAAATTTGTCTAAGTATAATATTTTACCAGAAAATGACTATGCACCACCCCAGGTAAATTGCTGATTATGCACAAAATAACTAATATGCCTGGCAGAAATTAAATATTCTTATTTCCTAAAAAAAATTATTATGGGGTGAAAAATTATGCTTAATTTAATATAAATATTGTTGATTTCATGAGGATTGTCATTGTTTTCTTTAAATATAATACATTTATTTCACTTACCCCCACGAAAACACAATTTCAGCCATATTGTGCCGTCTGGTTTGCTTTTTATCGCCGAATGTCGCAAATATCATCCAGTTATTGTACTTTTACATAATTATAAATGGCTGAAGAAGATTTCAAAGAAGGTTTCATCCACTTTTGTAACAGTGCAGTGTATTTTATCTTCGATATTGTGTCCTTCGATATTTCGTCAAATTGCCGCCATTTTAATGGCTCTCCGCTTCTCTGCCCGATAAATGCCACTTCTTCGTTTTCATATGTATTTAGATTACATTATCCAAGAGTACTTCCTTGTAGAATAGTACCAATCCAAAAATTGAAAATATTATTGGTACTTGGGAGGAAAAAACCTCCCATAATAGTTGTCCTGTTTGAATTCAAAAGAAATAATTTAAAAGTCACGCGCAAGTTCGCGCAAACACCTCGTGGGGGAGTGAATATTTTCACGAAACGTTTGTTCGCCACCACAGGCCACAGCAACCTAACTAAGTACATTATATTTATTGTATATTTGTGATTTATGATAAAAGCAATAAATATTTGCGTATCAATTATAAAAATTTAATTAGTTAGGTTGCTGTGGTGGCGAACAAACGTTTCGTGAAAATATTCACTCCCCCCTGTTATGTAACCCACGAGGTGTTTTCGCGAACTTGCGCGTGACTTTTAAATTATTTCTTTTGAATTCAAACAGG